AGATGGTAGGGGCAGCATCACGTTGTGGGGATGTTTTTCTTCAGCAGGGACAGGGAAGTTGGTTAGAGTTGATGGAAAGCTGGATGGAGCCAAATACAGGGAAATTTTAGAAGAAAACCATCTCATGAGATTTGGTGATCTCACTACAGTTCCTTTTCCCTATTTAATTGCTGGAACCAGGACCAGGTTACTTTTACACAAAGAGATAGTGCAGGACAAGCCACAGTGAGTCAGTCAACAGGGAAAAGACCTGCTGCAGGAAGGCCACAGTCAATACTGGCTGAGAAGTCATTTGCCCTTCGCCTGTCATTTTTGATACAACCTCCACAGCTTATTTCCTCTAAGTGTTCAGGCAGGGGAAGGACTAAATGTTAGTGTTTTTTGTTAAACTACATTTATGGACACTTCTGAAATGTTAGGACATTAAATTTTAGTGCCAAAAACAAAAAAAAATAAATGCATAGCAGGAATATTGAACTATTGGAATATTGAAATGAATACTTAACTATTAAAAAAAGGGAGAATCAAATTTATTCTTTAAAAAAAATTTATTCCTATGTTCAAAATACAATTAACAGTGTCAAACAATATAGCATATTTAATGTAATAGAAAAATCACACATTATATAGAAAAATAATCAAACCTCAAAAATGTAAACATCTCTAATACAATATACACACAAATCAGAGTGGTCTCAGGTACCCATTCTAAGACCAGACTTTATAGCAGCACACACTTAGCTGGATAAAAATCTGGATTGTAAACTTCATTAAGCCACAAAATGCCAGCTTTGTGCATTATATTGCATTGGCACATTTTCTTGCATTGCACATGCTTTTGGTTACAGGTAAGTAACATGAGACTTCCACAAAAACTGCAGCTTAACAAAAAAAAACAAAACAAAAACACTAACAATATTTAAATCAACACACACACAATGCTAACATTTACAGATTATAAAGCAAATCGACAACTTTCCTATTTGATAGTATTAGACAAGACAGTGAGAAAAGATAACTATGCAACAATCTGTTTATATTTTTGTTTGTGCAGGCTGTTGGGGCATTCATTGTATTCAATGAAGTTTCTCCTGACAGAAATCTATATTTGTAGCTGTCTTCAGTAACCTATGGATGGTCTCCACAGAGAAATAACACATTTCAGTATTTCCCATTAGGCAGGAAAAAAAAAAAAGAAAATCAAGTCTCCTTAGAGACCCATAGGAAGACTGGAGAGAAATTTATATTATAGAATTTTCCTCACTGTTGTGCATTACAAAATCAAAATCTGGAAAATAAAAAACGACATACTCTGTAGTGATCCTACGGTCTTGGCTATGGTCATAGTATTTGCCCATTTTTAAATGCAATTTAAAGCTAGCACCATTTTCCTTTAGCTGCAGCCACTGTGGAGCACTTAATTCTCAAAGTTCAAGCCATGTCCTCACAGAAGCTCAGCTCACCAGGCTCAGTGAGGGCATAATGTTGATTTACTGCATAAAATTATGTAAATACCCAACTGTCCATAGCCTGGTCACAAGTACTTATGTATTTTTGAAGGAAAAGTAGAAAGCCCATTTAATGATTGGTACAACACAAATGAAAATCATAATACAAACAGTTATCCTAGGAGGTTATATTAAAAAAAAACATTAAAAAGAATATAAATATGACACCTAACGTTTTTTTTTGGCATGTTATATAATTATGTTTGTAGCTATATTAATACTATTATAAATTTTCCACCAGTCCTTTATTACCCAATACTTATAAGGTTTTTTTGTACATAGCCGATATGCATTCAAATGTGAGATCTGAACCCCTTGAATCAGGTGACAATTTCTGACAAAGTCTGCCTCTCTATTACACACCTAATAAAACGCAAAAGAAACCAAGGTCCTAATTAATCAAGTTGGAGTAGCATCTGAATGTCTGTGCCATAGAGAGAAAAACAAAACTGCTGAGGTATGAAGTCCAGGCACCTCAAGGTGCTCATGCATACCTGCAGCAGCCTTCCAAACCTTGCCAAAGCCAAAATAATGGGCCATTGACAGGAAGGTTTAGCAAGCTGCTGCAGTTTTATATGTAGCAGCTTTGTTCCCTCAATGACTCCATGGCTTTCCTGCCATAGCAGACTCTTAAAACATGCGAAACGTCATTATGATTTTACATCCCAAGCAGAAAGACGAAAGGAATAAGAACAGTCCAAGGACACAACACAATACATTTCATAATTGTGTGTTAACTATTGCAAATAGACTGTAAACCCCTAAAATATCTCAATGAGTGATTAAAAATGACACCACTTCACCAAGACACCATTCACACCAGCACACATGAACCTCAAAGCAAGAGTTCCAGTTCTAGGTCCACTGCACAGCCCATTTAAAATGAACAGGTTTCCACAAAGCCAACTTTAATATACCTATATTTTGTCTTGGTTGCTCCCCCCCATTAACATGCTAAATAAATTTTTAATAAAACTTTATTGCACACCTTATTTTAGACCCATTAATGTCATCACTGGGTCTTTGCTTTTTTTTTTTTATGCAATGATGGCAGATCATTGCTGGTGGGTGGGGTGAGCAAGGTGTTGTATAAAACTTCCTGAAAACATCACAGCATTCTGCCTCAGTACTTGTCTTAACAACCCTCAGCCCTGTTGCAAGTAGTGGGCAGGATCTTGGGAAAAGTGATGTCATGCAACAATGATGGGTAAATGTCTGTCTGGAGGAGTAGCTGTTCCCTGGCAGTATGCATCTATATGCACACTGTCCTAGGTAATGTCCACATGTTATGCTGAACCTCCAAGGCTGAAAGAACTGAAATCCAATGAATAAAAAAAACCGGATAGACCAGGGACAGTCAGGTTAGCAAGGGTTAGATCAGTCAGTTTAAGTATGGTATGGTTTACAGAAAATGCCAAAATTCAGTGTGTTTATAACCATGTCTTAGAAAAATGATAAAAATGGCTCCCCAGGGCTGGAGTTGGATGCCCCCGAGCTAGATGAAAATGGACTGAAGGAAATGAAGCAGGCTTCAACTTGCTATGGCTTCTACTGCATACTATGAGGAGTTCACAGTGTACAGTGAAGCAAATTCAGTACAAAGAAGCCTGTAAAATTGTTCAAGATTGGAGATAAGGCTGCAGCGCATCTCTAAAGCGGAGTTCGTCCTTTTTGTGTTTATTAAAAGTCAGCTGCTACGTTTTTTTCTTTTAATAAACACACTCACCTGTCCATGGGTCCAGTGATGTGCTCACCTGCGCCATAGTCTCTCTCCTCGACACTGGCATCTCAGCTCTGTGCACCAGGCTGTGACAGCTTGCAGCTTCACAGCTGGGTGCCCACTGCACATACAAATTGGTCCGGCAGTCTTCTGGGACCTGTGAAGTGTCCCAAAAGATGGAGCTGGAAGTTCAGCCCCTCGCACTATCAATACTAGGTATCGGGACCTTAAACATGGAATTGGGATTTAAGGACCCTTCATGCTGGTCCAGTCAGCTGCAACTATTTACTGCACTAAACTGATGCTCTTGCTTGGAGCGCTGTTATAACTGTATGCAACCTCAGCAACATACAGTATATAGTGCTGTGTTCCAGCATTGGGATAAGAACCACCCAACCAACTCCCAGAAAAAAAAAAAAAAAAAAAAAAAAAAGCTGGGCTAAGCACTGCTCAGCCATTCATGGGATACCTTTTATTTTATGGATGAATACAAACCTCCTTCTGATTGGTGCAGAAGGAGAGATGGGTAGATGATGTCAAAGTCTGCCTCGGCCAATTATAGGAAGCTTTGTATTCAGTTTGGCCTAAACAAACCATATAAATATGGATATTAAAAAGTAGAGTTAGGCTTTAAAGAGTAGCAGTGGCAGTTGAATAGGATTCCATTGTTTAAAGCCTAGAAAAAGGACATAAAAAATAGTAGCCAGGGCTATGCATGTAAGCTTCCAATTATTTACTTTAGCAGATTTCTTTAGCAAAGCCTAACTTGATATGGCGATTTAATACATTTTCTTCCTAGACAGTAAAATCTTCTGAATGTCAAACATTACCTTTTCTTCAGTCACTGAGTGCCATATACAAGTTGTGGTTTCCATTCTAGATTTAATGACAGTTTTTCAGGAAACCTGTGCAGAAAGTTCTGACTCCCCTAATTGGCTTTTAATGGCTATATCTGAACCGAAAAGTATCCAGCCAGCAATACAATTGGTTTTTGATCAATGAGCAAGTTACTAGTTGGCCTTTACCTATTGGTGTACATTTGTAAGCTGAGCTTGCTTGTACATAAAAATAAAAAAAGGGGGGAAAAAAAAAAAAAATTCAACTCACATACAGCTAACACTATAACCATCTGAATGCAGTTCAGTTCTTTACCTTAACCCCTTCTTGCCGGCGCCCTCCCGGCCCTTTAAAGGTTCCAGATGCCGGGAGGAGGAGTGGGGTTTAGGGTCATGTGACCACAATGACGTGCCGTCACATGATCCGGAAAGGTCCAGATCGAAAGGAGATTGGGACCTTTCCGTGAGTACCGAACATGTGTGCTGGAAGCACGCACGCTCTCGGCACATATGTCCTTTTTTAATAGAACGCAAATGTGCGTCCGCTCGGCGTCTAGGCCCAGACGCCGAGAGGCCGCACATTTGTGTGCGGCTGGAGTGAAGAGGTTACTCACACACAAGTGTTCCCAATGATGATACACAACTGAGTGCATCATACCTGCTGATTATAGGATTTATTTGTTGGTGTCATACATAAGGTGATTAAGTTTGATATGTAAGGGCAGTCTGTATGGTGCTTTCCTTCTAGGGACTCACAATTGAAGCAAAAAAAGTGTCCCAAACATTAACACGGCCAATGCTCAGCACTGCCCTGACCGCGTAGATGGCTAACGTAATCCATTAAGCAAATCTTAAATTGATTTCACAGTAAACCCACAAACCAATCTTTCCAATATAGAATTGGAATTTATATTGAATACAACTTGTAACGTGCAATTATTTCAGGACACTTCTGTGGGCCAAAGATGACATGTGGCTGCAGTAATGATCTGGCAGCTGTGAAAGGCAAATAAAAGAAAAAAATGTGTTAGAAATACAAAATCAAGTTATTTTAGAAGATGTAACCTCAAAATAAAATATATGTAAACACAGCAATAAATAATGCAGAATAGTATTACCCAAAAATAAACTGGCATATTGCTGGATTTTCTGCTAAGGGAGCTGTATATAATTTGGTGTTTTTCTTTCAAATTTTAGTAAATTAAATATATCATAGTGGAATCCCAGACACATACAGTTTTAGTGACGTTAAAGTGGCATTTATCCCACAGAAAGTTTGATTTGCCTGCTTTCCTCTGGATCAACCTATGAGGAATGGTAATATATGAAATATCACTGGTATAACTCTAAAGCCGTGAATGTGTAATTTGCCAAAACATTCGCTGCAGGTGAATCAATCACCAATTCAAAATATATCAGGAAGATACATCTGCAGTGAATGTTTGGTGACTCACTTTCACTGCTTTTTAAATATGCCCTTAAAAATTTTATGAACTGTCTCAATCTCAAAATAGGACCCCAAGCTTCTAAAAACACAATCTAATTTATTTCTGCTTCAAAAAAAAAAAAAAAAAAAAAAAAAAACCATACATTTTTAAAAATTGGCTTTTAAATCGTAATTGTGGTCTAAAAAGGTTTGTTTAACCACTTCAATACCGGGCACTTTTACCCCCTTCCAGCCCAGGCCAATTTCCAGCTTGCAGCGCTGTCGCACTTTGAATGACACAATTGCGCGGTCATGCAACACTGTACCCATATGACATTTTTATAATTTTTTTCACACAAATAAACTCAGGGGTGATTTAAATAATACCACCAAAAGCTCTTATTTTTTGCTAAACAAAACAAAAAGCCTGAAAAACTGAGGAAAAAAAAAAAAAAAATTGTTATAAAATTTTGCAAATAAATAACATGTCTTCATATATTTAGATCAAAATGTATTCTGCTACATTTGGTGAAAATACCCAATTTATTGTATATTAGTCTGTAGGAAAGTTATAGAGTCCACAAACCAAGGTATATCTATCTATATATCTCTCTGCCAACTGATCAATCCTGATGTACTGACGACCCATCTAATTTCTTGAGGTCTGAAAACGCCAGGATAGTATAAATACCCCCAAATCACTCCTTTTTGGAAAATAAGACAGCTCATGATAATTAGTAAGAGGCATGGTGAGTTTTTTGGAGGTTTAATTTTTTGTTATTTTTTTTAATTTCTACATTTTCCAAATTTTTTTTTTTTTTTTTTTAACCTATTGTCACCAGTCCAGTACAGTGTTTGATCACTGCTACGCCAGTTATAATGAGACTGGTGACAGCATGTAAAAAAAAAAAAAAAAAAAAAAAAAAAAAAAAAAAAAATGTAATTTGTATTTGTTTCTCAAATTGTTCTATTTTTTTTTTTTTTATTACATTCTTTCTTTTTTTTCACCACACTGTGACCAAAGCAACACAACGTTACCATAGCAACATTAAACTACTCTGGGCAAGTAATCAGGATTTTTTTTTTTCTTTAACACATTATGATTGCTAATACCAATGTATTTCATTGATATTTGCAATCATAGTTACTGAATGAAACTGATTCTTTTGTTGTGATTAGCTGTGATTGGCCCTGTGTGTATCATGTGACTGCTTGGACCAGTCACATCTAACAACATAATTGTATACAATGGATGGCATGACAGGAAGCCATCCATTGTATACAATTGGCATGTGATCTGCTGTGATTGGTCACAGCAGTCACATCACACTGGCTACGGGCTGCTGTAGTGATGTCATCAGCTGTGTCCCGTGGACACAGCCAGTGACAGATCGCATCGCTGTGTGGCCCCATAGCCATGTGAGCGGCTAGTTTTGACAGGACGTCATAGGACGCCCAGTCACAACGAGGAGTGTCCCGCCCAGCCATCAATCTGCTATAGGCTGGGCGGGAAGGTGTTAAAGTGTTACTAAACCCAGGACCCTGCATTCATTATATCTGGTCTACCACAATACACAGAACATGGAAATGCAATTATTTTAGTAAATATAAACTGCTAAATATCTTCTCAGTAGTTAGAGCGGTCTTGTGACTTATCCATGTCCAGCAGTGCACTGGTTAAAGCTTATAGGATGAGTATTCATTCTCCTCTCAGTGCCCTATGAGGATTGCATAACTGTTTACCCTCTGTCTGGATAATGCAGATTGGCCCTGTGCTGATCACATGCACTCTCCCAAGAAAAAAAAAAAAAAAAAACTCTAGCAGTACACACCAAACAGAACAGAGCCTCGGGGACACTCTGCACATGCTCAATCAGGAAATGAAATGGGACACGTGGAAGAAGGGGAGGATCAGAGAAGACAGGATCAAACATCTTTTACACAATGCAGAGTATTAATCCCTTAAGTTCCACAGCGAGTAGAACAAGCATACTTTACTAAACCCACAACAGTAAAATCAGTCTATATTTGCAGTAAACACTTTAAAAACAAACAAAAAAAACTTAAAAGAAAAACAATATGCAAAGTAACTGATGCAATAAACCAGGCAACCAGCCCCTCTCTGCTTTAAGATCATTGTTTGTCTAGGAGTCTATGAAAGGCATGCTGTGTCTGCCATTACTACTGGAAGCAATGAATGCAGAGGATGGAGAAATGGTGTTTTCCTTCCTTTAATGCTTCATGCATTAAGACTGTTAGAGACAGGGGACTGTTAGAGGCACAGGGGACTGTTAGAGGCACAGGGGACTGTTAGAGGCACAGGGGACTGTTAGAGGCACAGGGGACTAGAAGTACAAAGTAATGAGTTCATTGAGCGATACAAGATTAAGAGATAACCAGGTTTACTGCCACCTACTGGATGATTTGGACACTGGCAAACAAAATTCAATGATCAACAGGTATAACTCTTTCCATTACCAACATGCCTCAGCTTTGTAGCAAGCAAGATCAGACACAGGAGTGGAAACTGTATTCGTCAATGAAGAAAAAATAAATATGCTTTTCAACTGAGGGGAGGGCAACAGTAACAAAACTAACAAGATCACACAGCAAATAAAAACAGAATAAGGGCTGCCTGCAGCTCAAAACTGCAGCATGAAGTCATCTCACTCACAAGGCTTGTATTAGATGAAGCTTGAAAGCCCACCTGATAAAAAAAAATATGTGCATAGAAGACAAAGTGCCAGCCATGCAAATCTGGGAAACTGTTCACTCACAGATCTAGTAAAGTGTATTAATAGGAAGGGGGTAGAACCCATCAAGAATGAGTGTGTTTTTTTTTTTTTGTGGCTGTGGGGTAACCTGCACACCAAGAACTAGAGTGCCTTGAAAGAAAAAAAAAAAAAGTGTTCATACTCCTTGAAATTTTCCACATTTTTTTATGTTACAACCAAAAACGTAAATGTATTTTATTGGGATTTTATGTGATAGTCCAACATAAAAGTGGCACAGAATTGTGAATTGGAAGGAAAAAATAAGTGGCAGGAAAATGATAAATGGTTTTCAAAATTTTTTACAAATAAATATTAGAAAAGTGTGGCGTGCATTTGTAGTCAGCCCCTTTTACTCTGATACCCCTAACTAAAATCTAGTGGAACCAATCGCCGCAGTTATACTAGTTATATATAGTTGTACTTCAGCTACAACACCCATATTACAGCCCTTCTTACCACTATATATGAACCCTATTAACTATGCCTTACAGAATCCAATTCACCTTGTATATGGACATATTTTACACATATACCATTGGGCTGTAACAGCCAGATCGACAAGTATCCAACACACTTTAGGCCAATTCTTAAGGGCTCCAGAAGGGTTTGACAGCAATGCTGGACACAGACAGAATAAATAACTTGTGCTGATTAACCACCCAGTGAAGTGCAGGTAAATCTACCTTTCTTGGGCTTCTGTAATGTTATAGACAGTCATACATACCTGTGCGCCAAGTCTGGACAAATATCTAACCCTCAAAGCAAAAGCACTCAGTGGACGAAGCCTACTTTCTGAATTCTGCCGCCTCAGTCGAGCTGCCTCAGCCCTACAAACAACATATTGCTTGGTGAATAACAGAATAAAATGTGGTCAGGCTAAACAAATGCAAGGAAGGAAAAAAAAAAAGCATTCAACTGACATTGTGCACTAGGGAAAAATGACAATACAATTTTATTTCTTTTGTAAATATTTTATTTAATCAAAAACAGACAATAGTGCAGTTTCAGTCAAATGTAACATTAAATGATTTTGAAATACAGATTAATCATCATACAAAAATGTTAAAAAAAAAAAAAATATGAAGTGCTAGTGAGCCAAAGTAATTAGAAAATTTAGAGATAATTCCAACCGAAAAAACTCCCTGAGTATGATAAGCAATGATTACAAAAATATATTGCAGTCAAATGTATATCTTTTGGGGTAATGGGATGGATTGGAATGCATGCATATACACTGTATAATATATTTTATGTATTTATCTTAATTTATTTTATGCATGCATTTATTCCAATCCAACCCATTACCCCAAAGCAGAAACTGGAAAAATTATCCACATCCTTATTAAATCTTGTCTTTTGAAAAATTTTATATGATTTAACTATAGAGTAATTACATATAATGTCAATATGCACAACTGAGCCTTTGTAATGTTGACAAAACAAATACGCACTATAGCTCTGTTCCATAACTGAGCACAACAAAAATTGCAGTTTTACAGAAGGTGTCCACATCTAGTGTTCATTAACACTTGCATGTTGTGGCAATATGCGGTAAAACACATTCTCGCAACTTCCTGTCTGTATTGGCTATGAGCAGCTTCAGAATGACATTGAGGTGCCTACTTGCAGCTGCTATCAACTCAGGAGGGCTGGACAAGGGGGTTTTGCGAATAAACTGACTTTAGAAATATAGGTACGACATGATCCGCACAGGATCCAGTATCTCCAAATAAGAATAGCAAACCGACCACACCTGCACAGATTTGCCTCTGTGCATGGTATAGTCAGAATTAAATACACACAAAAAGTGAACTGGCAGGTTTTTTTAAGAGCAAAAAAGTCAAATAGAGTATTTTAGAGCAAATTAAGTGCTCAAAAGAAAAGGGCTAGATTTCAACAAATTGAAAGAAAACAGATAAAGGTTTGAACCGTTCAAGTTACATGCCCAACAGTGCCACCAGGAACATCTGTGTAAGTTGGAGTGACATTTTATTAAATGATGCAGGAGGGCTAAAAAAGGAAAGTATACATTTATACAAAAGGACATTGTTGCATCACACTGAAAACCGGTTAAAAGTTTTAAAGTGGGGGTTGTCCTTCAAAGAAAACTGCACCTAAATTATATTTGAAAAGAATTCCTAATTTCTCCTCCAGTCAGCAGAAAACCCAAAGACCAGGCAAAATAACATACTGTGATGGTTACAAACTACAATTTTCACTTGGGCCATCCTCAAACTATCCCAAAATGCCTCAAATATATCCCTTATATTACAGCAAGGTGACTACCATTTTTGCTCTTAGAATAGCCCTTATCAGAAACCAAACAGAAGTAACATTTTATGCCTAGCCTTATAGACAGAGCAAAATGTATTAAGATTTTCATTGTATAAAATAACTACTTAACTATACATCTCTGCATTATTAATCTTTATATAATAATCTGATAATACACAAAATCTGTAACAATTTCTCATTTGTACATGGTCTTTTCATTGCACTTGAGGTAATGCTGCAGTATATTTGTTGACCCGACATCAAAATTCACCTGTGTCATCACACTGGCATTAGAAGCCATTCAGCAACGTCCTCAAATCATCAGATAGAAAAAGGATCCTTGTATGGGGTCCAGTATGTGAGCATTTTACATTTGTTTATATGGTCTCATGCAATGTGCAGCCCCAGTCATACCAGCTACAGTGATTCTACTTTTGTTAATACAACTGAAAATCTGGTCAGCATATCTGAGCTCTGCCCCCATATTGTAGCCATGATTATCTGGGATTTAAAATAAATTGTTTATAGCAGTGTTAAAATGGTAAAACTCTGCCATCCTTGCTACCGACCAATGAAATTTGGTCTTCCCTGCTAGTAATCTGTATGCACTGAGAATGGCCATCTGTATATAGAGATTCTATGCTTTTGCTACAGTCATGGCCGAAATTGTTGGCACCCTTGATATTTTTCCTGAAAATCAAGTATTTCACACAAAAAAGGTATTGCATTAACACATGTTTTGCTATACACATGTTTATTCCCTTTGTATGTATTGGAACAAATATAAAAACAGAGGCAGAAAAAGCAAATATGACATAATGTCACACAAAACCCCAAAAATGGGCTGGACAAAAGTATTGGCACCCTTAACTTATATATTTGGTTGCACACCCTTTGGAAAACATAACTGAAATCAGTCGCTTCCTATAACCATCAATAAGCTTCTGACACCTCTCACCGGAATTTTGGACCACTCTTCCTTTGCAAACAGCTCCAGGTCTCTCTTATTGGAAGGACAACCTTTTCCCAACAGCAATTTTAAGATCTCTCCACAGGTGTTCAATGGGATTTAGATCTGGGCTCATTGCTGGCCACTTCAGAACTCTCCAGCGCTTCTTTGCCATCCATTTCTGAGTGCTTTTTGACGTATGTTTGGGGTCATTGTCCTGCTGGAAGACCCAGGATCTTGGACGCAAACCCAGCTTTCTGACACTGGGCCCTACAGTGCGACCCAAAATCCTTTGGTAATCCTCAGATTTCATGATGCCTTGCACACAGTCAAGGCACCCAGTGCCAGAGGCAGCAAAACAACCCCAAAACATCATTGAACCTCCACCATATTTTTACCGTAGGTACTGTGTTTTGTTCTTTGTAGGCCTCATTCCGTTTTCGGTAAACAGTAGAATGATGTGCTTTACCGAAAAGCTCTATCTTGGTCTCATCTGTCCACAAGACGTTTTCCCCAGAAGGCTTTTGGCTTACTCAAGTACATTTTGGCAAACTGTAGTCTTGCTTTTTTATGTCTCTGTGTCAGCAGTGGGGTCCTCCTGGGTCTCCTGCCATAGCGTTTCATTTCATTTAAATGTCGACGGATAGTTCGCGCTGACACTGATGCTCCCTGAGCCTGCAGGACAGCTTGAATGTCTTTGGAACATGTTTGGGGCTGCTTATCCACCATCCGGACTATTCTGCGTTGCAATCTTTCATCAATTTTCCTCATCCGTCCACGACCAGGGAGATTAGCTACAGTGCCATGGGTTGCAAACTTCTTGATAATGTTGCGCACTGTGGACAAAGGCAAATCTAGTTCTCTGGAGATGGACTTGTAACCTTGAGATTGTTGATATTTTGCCACAATTTTGGTTCTCAGGTCCTCAGACAGTTCTCGTCTCCTCTTTCTGTTGTCCATGCTTAGTGTGGCACAGACAGACACACAATGCAAGGTTAAGTGAACGTCTCTCCTTTTTATCTGCTTTCAGGTGTGATTTCTATATTGCCCACAACCTGTTACTTGCCCCAGGTGAGTTTACAGGAGCATCACATGCTTGTAACATTCTTATTTATCCGCAGTTGTGAAAGGGTGCCAATACTTTTGTCCAGCCCATTTTTGGAGGTTTGTGTGACATTATGTCGAATTTGCTTTCTTTCCTCCCTTTTTTTGTTTTGTCCCAATACACACAAAGGGAATGAATAAACATGTGTATAGCAAAACATGTGTTAATGCAATACGTTTCGTGAGAAATACATGATTTCCTGGAGAAATATCAAGGGTGCCAACAATTTCGGCCATGACTGTATATGAACAAAAGCATGGTAGTTATATTGGAATTATTATATTGCACAAGGTTTTAAATATACAAACACACTGTATATATTCCTTTTATTTGAATTTTTTTAGCCATCTGTAGACTGCTCAAACAGAACAGAATGCCTGCAAAGCTGGGCCATTCACCACACAGGATTCTTCACAGGAACAAAGCCAGGGGCATTCCATGCTATCTTGGCAATGTCTGTGCAGCAGCAGATAAGCCAGCCCATCAAGGAGGACCCAAGAGCCATCCCACTGAGTCGGTGTGGTTTGGGACAGCACTGCAGGAAGCGTGCGATTATGTTGGAAAATTCAGTTTTTACACAGGAGAGGTTTATGGTGTACTAATTATATTGATTCACAATCAGAAAAGGAAAGGAGGAGTTCAGGGAATGTTTTTACTTGGGACATTATTTTTATCATTAAAGACGGAAGTTTAAACTTCCCAGATCCCTTATTAACATTACGTAGAAGGGAAACCTCTGTAGGGTTTTTATTTTTTTTCTATTCTTATTAGTTTTCTTAAAATTACTACAACAAGCTTTAATCACTGTATCAAATTCAATAAAATAGATTTCCACATCAGTCACAAAAATACCCCTTAACCTCCCCCCCCCCCCCCCCCCCCCCCGAAGACACACACACTTCCTTCCAAGATCTCCATGCTCCAATTAATTCTCGTTCTCTTTTGCCCAGCATGTCCACATACCTCCTCAATTTCTTAAACGCCACCCATTTCCCTCAGATGACATTTCTCTAAGGAGTCCTTGCCTATATACATAGTGTGTCTTCAAAATAATGTACCTGGACGATTTTTTAAACCCATTCTTTCAGGCTTAGGATTTTTATGTTCACCAGAACCTGGGGCTCAAGCTTTTAGCTGTATTTAATAAATGCAGAACTAGAGAAATCCTATATTGTGCCATTGGCTTCTCTGTGTTCTGAAATAGACATCTCCAAGGCTCAACTGATATGCCCCCCTATTATTTCATAGGGTGCCTTGGTAATTTCCTCCCAAAAGGACTTTGTACATTCCCACCACAGATGTGCAAAGGTTCCCGCCGAGTCGCATCTCCTCCATCATAGAGGAGACACGTTCGACCCAAACCTCTGTGCCCTAAGCAGGGTCACATACCGCATAGAAAAAAAGCTAGAGTTTTTACCACGTAAAAAAAAGGTAAGCAGCAATTTCTAATTTTGCTATGTGAAATTGAATACTGTGACTTTATTAGCACTAATTTAACT